CAACAAGCTCGTCAATTTAAAGTTCTTGCAATTGATGGTATAGTTGTGAAGCTCAATGAGAGAGATTCTTGTGTCAAAATCGACAATAAGTTGGTTTTAGTCCACAACATTGTTGAGGACAAAGGTGCAGTATACCTTGTGGGCAATTAATATAAACAGGTGGAACACTTCTTTAAATATCCTATTGATTCAAAAGAATTGGGAATTTATGTGGTTTCCAACCTCTCCACAAATGTTAAGTGTTTCATGACTGGAAAGAAACTGCAGAAGTATGTGAGATTGCCATTCCGAAACAGATTTGTTGTTGTTGTTCCACTCTTGCATCAAGAGAAATAACTCTGAAGTTGCTTTTGTATAATACTTGGCTGAAGAATATAATTCTTGTCGTCTCTTTATATGTTTCATATTGTTGTCTTTGACAAGACAAATGAGGTTGAAGTTGTGCCATCAGTCTGGATTAAAAATAGAGAGTGCATGTGGCCTCCAAATAAAGGTGATATAACAAAAACTGTAAAATCGCAGGAGACCCCTGTAGATGACTGTAAGGCCAGAATTATTTTCACATCATGTGAGTTATGTTTTGCCACCATTTCCTTCAAATTGAATTAATAGTAATATTTAAAATCACTGTTTTACTTTTTACATTTCTTCTTCTTGTTGTGATGCTACTTTTCCAGATGACTACAAGGAAGCTAGACGTAAACTAGCTCTAGCTGTTGATCACACTGACGTTGATCAGACCAATGGAGGGAACTCACCGATTACATTTCAAAGAAAAAGAAAGTAGGGTTTTGGTTTGTTTGTTTACATTCATGTTTTGCACCACATTTACAAATAAAAGTATATCTTGAAATTGATAAATGTGTTAGATCCAAGAACATTCTTTTTCCTGGTGAAGACGATGATAATGAGATGGAAGAACACCTGAAAGAACCAAAGTCAAAAAAAGGGTAAGAAGCTTGTTTATGATGATAATGTATTTTATCACAGCAGATAAATGACTAAGACATTTTGAATGTTTTAGCAGAAAACATTCCATACCTGATGCTCCAAAAATTGCTAGACAGCACAACAGATTAGATCCAGGAAAGCCAAGCTGCCCTAAGCTCTGCCACAGTACTCCTGACCTCCCCAATGATGAGATGGAAGGCATTAAAGGAACAAAATCAAGAAAAAGTAAGCATCACCCTTTTAAAATTACAGATCATTTGATCACAGCTGTTAAAGGACTAAGGTATTTTGTACTTTGCAGGAGGTATGCCTTACCTAATGCTCCAGCGATCACTAGGGAACAGATTTCTCCTGCAGTAGACAACCTCCACCCAAGTGGCCAAGGCAGTAGTGACCTTCGTCGACACAGCCAAAGCAGTCCTGACCTTCACTCACATGGCCATAGCAGTCCTGATGTTAGCCCACATGGCCAAAGCAGTCCTGACCTTCACCCAAGTTGCTACTACAGTCCTAAATTGTATGCAGATGGCCACAGCACTCCTGAGATCTACTCATGTAAAACTATGATTAATTGTTGTATGGGGCACACAGCATGGCTCCGTGTGCGTTGTTCTGCATGTTGATAAATTTTATAGGTTTAATGGTATATAAAAGATAAAATAAAAGATTGTTACAGTGAAAAGTGCAGATCTGGATTTTGTTGGATTTGTAGCATATATACAGGTACATCTCAAAAAATTAGAATATCATGAAAAAGTTCAATATTTCTTGACAACCCTTTCAGAAAGTGAAATTCATATATTATATAGATTCATTACACATGGAGTGAAATATGTCAAGCCTTTATTTATTGGAATTTCGATGATTATGGCTTATACATAATAAAACCCAAAATTCACTGTCTCAGAAAATTAGAATATCACATAAGATCAATTAAAAAAAAGGATATTTTAAACAGAAATGGCAGGCTTCTGAAAAGTATGTTCATTCCTATGCACTCAATACTTGGTTGGGCCTCTTTTTGCATGAATTACAGCATCAATGCAGCCTGGCATGGAGGCGATCAGCCTGTGGCACTGCTGGGGTGTAATGGAAGCCCAGGTTGCTTTGATAGCAGCCTTCAGGTCATCTGCATTGTTGGGTCTGGTGTCTCATCTTCCTCTTGAAAATACCCTATATATTCTCTATGGGGTTCAGGTCAGGCGAGTTTGCTGGCCAATCAAGCACAGTAACACCATGGTCGT